GGGAGATGGATCTCTGCTATCAGGCTGAGGGATCTGCTCTGGAGCCAGGAAGCGATGCTCAAGGTAAGGACCAGAGCTCCCCCAAAGAGAACCACAGCCATCCTCATAATGTAAGTATAACTATCATGTGGAAGCAGTGCTGGAAGTGGGGACTGCTTCCAGTGACAGCGAGGCCCTGAGCGCCTCCAATGATGAGAACAGCAGAGTTAATATCAGGAAGGCCAGCGTGACAGGCTTCTCCAGAAGGATCAACAGCACACCATCTTCCCCTCCAGTTCTCTTTCTATGCTGTCAGCCACAGTCCTCAGGAGGGCCTTCCACACCCAGCACCACGCTGACTCAGTTCAGCTGGGTGTTGCAGTTGACCATCAGCTGATCCACCACAGTTCCAAATGCTCAGAATGCACAGGTATCTGCAATTGGGAAAACCTCCTCTAGGTTATCAGCTTATGCCCAACAGTCCCAGTCAGTGAACCCTGAGCCTCCCTTGGTTGCAGCGTCCCGCTCCCTCTCTCTGCTGACCTCTGCCCCTCCCCCAGGACTTTCATGCTTCTGACCTCCTCACTCCCTGCCCTTGTGGTGGGCCTTCTAATGCCTATTCTGCATGGCAGACTGCTAGGTGGAGAAGGGAAGCAGCAGCAGTTTAATGAAGGACTTCAGCAATGTTAGCTGTCAGAGATGACATGGAAAGTGGAGGAAGCTGACTCCATTTTCTGACTTCTGAAAGTTTACCTAAAAAGTCAGTCTGAAAAACCTGCCTTCTTGCCTGAGTTCACATTACATGACTGCAGTGTAGACCCTCAGATGTGGTGAGTTTCAGGGTCCAGGATTCATAGGACGCGTGTGTGTGCATGTATGTAGTCAGGGAAAAAAGAAAGAGCAGATAACACTGTCAAAGCTGCTAAAATAACAGCCATACTCATGCAAGGACACAGAGTCCTTGTAATTCTTCTTATTTTTCTCTCTGGACCCCTTCATTTTAGTTTTTTGTAGCTAAAAGTTCCATCACTATAAAGTAGAAAACTATAACAAGCTGGTTCATCTGCAAAAGAAAATTTAGTTGAAATGAAACCAAACCAGTTTGATCTCCTCAGTACATTACTCCACACGGGTTTTATCCCATCTTATGAGTAAGTTTGACACCGGCTATGCTATACCTCTCCAGAGCTTCACCTCTTCATTTGCATATTCCAAGTCTTATTATTTTAAGGTAGAGTCTTGTTAAAACTTTCAACCTTTTGCAGAGTTTCAAAGACTTCACATAAAAGGTTTCAATGTGATTGCTTTATACAGGAGATTTTTAACAGATATAAAATGATTCAAAATACTTGAATTAAGAGAATGATTTTGGTTATTTAGGATTTAGATGAGTTCTCTGCATAATGGATCTATTTTTGAGAATGAAATGGTGGGGTTAAGAACATCCTTAGAAAACTCCCTTTTGGCAGACAAGTCAGTGTGCTCTTCAATGTTGTGAAAGTTCCACTCAGCACCCCTACTTCTGCAGCACTTGTGTGTCCTGCCTGTCATTAAGTTCTCCTGATACACTGCCTTCCTATTTGTGTGTTTTCCTGACACCATCCAACCTACAATAGCTCCTACAAGTCCATAGTTTTAAAAAATTACCAATTGTCCGCCAAATGGACCAAAAGGCGTAGCTGGAAAGACACCGCTGAAACATGACAGAAACATCTGCCCGGCAGCTGTAATGGGACTGCCAGTGCCTTTGGTAGATGTTTTACTGCCTGCGCTGCATTGTGTATGAATAGGGCAGTGGTGGCATTGCATAGGAAATGTGATGTTGACAGCCCTGAGAAATCCCACCAGCCTCGGGGCCTCTTGTTCAGTAGAGGATTACTAAGAAATAATAATTGGTTTCTCACAGTTACAGTCTCTGGCTCCTCTAGCCCTGTAATTCTAAAATTGTATGGAAGAGGCATGGCTTACATTTTAGTTATGTTTTCCAGTCAGCTTCTCTTTGTTTTATGGGTCGCTGATGTCCTTACATCCACCTGTGCTTCTTCCTCAGTGCAAGCAGGTATCTTGAGCTCGTGAAGATAGTGTACTACTTTGTCTTTAATGACAGAACAAGCCCATGAAATCCATTCCAATTATTTCAAGTAGCACGAAGTTCAAGTACAGAATATTATCATGGCATCAGAGCAGTGCTGTGATTTTCAATCATGACTTTCTGAAGCAGCTCTGGTAGTTTTCTTTTATGAGTGCCTTGATGAGGTGTGATTTAAGAAAAAAAAAATACTGTGAGTGCTGCAGTTCGGTACCGTCCACCAGAAAGGCAGGGCAGGACAACATTACCATTTGTTTCACCCGGATTCTTCACGGCTCTGGCATGGTGCAATTTCTGGCTCTTCCCATGTCAAGAAAACCCTAAAAGGTAAACCTTTCGAACGGATTCAGGGCTGAAGCAGCAATGACAGTGCAGTTTGGTGTTGAGTTTTGAAAGCTCAGTAAAGAAACTAAATGCACGATTTATCAGAGATCATGTTATCTAAGACGTCTGCAAGATATTCTTCTCTGAAATAGAAATGTTGTGCTTGACTGAATCTCTGCTCAGGGACACAAAAACACAGGCCTTACTTCCTCCTTTGCTTTCACTGAATTAAGCTTCTCCGTGAGGGAAAAACACATGACTGGCCTGGCAGATGACTTTCCGTTGCCCTGATGCCTGAGGAATTCTAGCTATTAATCAAAGCTCCATACAACTAAGGATATAATTTAATAACATGTAATCCAATAGGAAATTAATGTATCTGTTACCATTTGCCACAAATTATCATGACAGATATTAATATTCATGAACAATTTTCTCACAAAAATGTACATGCTTCTGAAGTGCTCCATCTCTTCAAATTAATCTGAACTCCTGCCTTTATCATTTAGATATTAATTAATTATTTCATAAATGACAATTGTAAGACTTCAAAAACTGGAAGGAGAGATCATTCCTTTTTTCTTGAGATATGTTCTAAGCATCAACTAAGAATATAAATCATGCACACAACAGTGTTTACTAGTGAATCTTAAAAGTCTGCCAACCTGCGTGCATCTGAACAGCACAATTCTTAATTCTCCAGAATACCCAATGCTTCTTTCACAGCAGTGGTTGATGTTGTTAATTGTGTTGACCTACTAATGAATGTTTTTTGGTAAGTATTATTATATAAGTAATATATATATATAGTCCATAATTTAAAATATATAAATTATTTTTGCAACTTGTCATTTGACATTTCAGAACACAATTAACTAAAGGTAACTGAAACCACAGAAAGCAAAATTGAAGAAAAGAGAGGCCCACTGTACATACAATTGTCAATTATGTCTAATAATACTAAGTGTTCACAAGCTGAAGAAAATAAGAAATTTCACCACTAACAGTGGTAACATAAAATGATACAACTACTTTGGACAACCATCTAAGAGCTACCTTGTAAATATTCACTAACTCTGTGACTAGCAATTCCCTTTCTAGAGGCTTATCATGAAGAAATGCATACATATATTTAGTAAGAAATAAAAACTATTTATAGCAGCACTGTTCTTGAGACCAAAAAAAAAAAAAAAAGAGAGAGAGAGACAGAGAAAGAAAAACAACCTAAACAACCTGAATGTCTACCAACGGGAGAATGGGTAAATATATTTTAATGTATTTTTGCAATGGTATGTCAAGTTGCCACTTAAAAAGACTATAAAATATTTCTGCAACATTTCACATGCAACAACTTAGATACACTTTAGAAGCATAGTATTAGTAAAAAATCTAATCACTGCAGGTTAGTTGTAGAGTAATGATATTAATTTTGTGATCCTGATCTCCTACAGATCCAGCTGGGGGAAAAGAGTTGCCTTTTTGCATAAAATAAATAATCACCAAAGTTCTTCTGTTTCTTAAAACCATTATATGAAATATCCTAGGAAATGTATTAATGGGCATTTTCTATACTTAACAGACCGGAAAAATAAAATAAGAGGATGAAAGTTTAAACTGACCAACAATACCTTAGTAATCACACTTGAATATGGTTGAAATAAATCGTGTGATAGCATACATCATGGGCTGTACTTAGGAGAGTCTTCTTATGTCTCCCTTCAATGTGCATAGCCTTAGTTACATTTTCTGTGGGTAGCCATGCACTCATTGTCTTATATAGTTTTCTGATCAATTTTGTGGCTTAGTAAAATTGGCTGTAGATAGCCAACATTAACCATGAATCCTGATCACCTTTGTACAAAAATTTACCTTTGAAGATTGACTTCATAAGCACAAATTTCAACTTCAGCAGAAAGTTCCTGTTCACTTATACATCCATAATCCTTAGCACTGTTGGCACACAGAAAAGGTAGGGAATAAGCAATCATTTAGTGGGCATGTCCCAAACAGCAAAACTATTGGTGATTCTGTGATGCTTTGCCTCACTAACGGACACCAGCGTCCACTGAGGTACTGGAGACGAGGTACCCAACTCGGAAGTCTGCAGGCACCTGGTACCAGTGTCGTGTGGGTTGGTGTAATCGGTTCTAATTCGGTTTCTACTACAACTATTCTTCCTAGAAATTGTTCAAATGACAGCATCTTTTTTTAAAAGAGAACACAACCAAAAGCTATTGTAAGGTACAAATACTAGCCTGTTCTTTGTTTCACTAGGAAAATGTAATCTAGTTTCATTCTAATACTGTCACAGAAAAAAAGAGCTCTACAGTACCATGAAAACAAAGGTGCTGTAGTTTCTCTAACTTGTTTTCCAAAGTAGCACTGCTGACCTTTTCTCAAAACTTTAAGCATCACAAGGAAACCAGTGGGAAGGGGATCATGTGCTGCCCAAGCAGTTAAAGGGCAGAAAAATTCACTGATGTGAAAAAGGATTAGCAAAGGCTGTAGAACAGGACCAGCCCCGCCCCTTTGGGTGAGCAGGTTTGATACTAGCTGCGAGGCGGAATCCCACATATAATTAGCAGCTCTGACGTCATGCAAGGAGCACATAAAAAACCGTCCACTGGGAGGGCATTGCGGCAGACAAACCTCTGAGGAATCTAAGGTACTGGAGAGGAGCTCCTCCGGAGTGAGTGAACGCGCACCGTAACTCCGCTAGCAGGGAGATATGAAACTAAGAAAATCAACTTGCTGGAAATCTCCCAATTTTTCTTTCAGACCCGTGGTTAATACTATTAATTGTGTTGATGAATGCTTCTGGTGAATAAGTATTAGTATCTAAGTAAATGAATGAATGACTGCTTTTGGTGAATAAGTATTAGTATATAAGTAAATGAATGACTGCTTTTGCTGAATAAGTATTAGTATATAGGTAAAAATTTTAAATGAAGAAAACTAAATTACTATGAAATGGATTTCATTATGGAGGCAGTATGTGTCTCAATTTTGTTGTTGTTGTTGTTTTGTTTTTTTTTCCCGGTACCGGGAATCGAACTCACAACCTCGCACTCGCCAGGCAGGCGCTGTGCCGCTTAGCTGAATCCCCAGCCCCTACTCAAAATTTTTAAAGCAAACTATTTTCATTATGTGTTTGAAATGTCTGTGTCCATACAAGGATTTCATTTTGAAAGGAGGTTGAGAGAGCGCTTATCCTTCTTAAGAATACTAAAAAAAAAAAAAAAAAAAAAAAACTTGCACAATTCTATTTTCCTTTCTTTTTCCAGGTGAATTTTTATCTACATGCCTCTCTTTCCTCTCTGCAAAGGATTCGAGCCAGACCTTTGTCCTGCAGTCTTACTTCCACCAGAATGAAATCGTGTAGATTCCCCTCTCTGGAATCTATCCTCCTCTCCCTGCTGCTTTTCCAGCAGGTATGGGCTCAATTTCCACGCGAGTGTGCCACTGTGGAGGCTTTGCGAAGTGGCACGTGCTGCCCGGATCTGTCCCCCTCGGCTGGGCCGGGGACAGACCGCTGCGGCTCCTCCTCAGGGCGGGGCAGGTGTGACGCGGTGACTGCAGACTCGAGACCCCACAGCCGACAGTACCCGCATGACGGCAGAGACGATCGAGAGAGGTGGCCCTTGCGATTCTTCAACAGGACGTGTCACTGCAACGGCAATTTCTCGGGACACAACTGCGGGGCGTGCCGTCCTGGGTGGGCAGGAAGTGCCTGCAACCAGCGGGTTCTCACAGGTAAGGGATGCTCTGCATTGGTGCGCACACCTGGGTGAGAACTGAAGTTCTTCACAGCGCCTCACACCATGTGAACTAGAAGACCACCTGCAAACTCTATCAACCCTCTCTTTCCCCAGTTGAGCAAACTGAGCCTTGGCTGGGTTAAGAAACATGTTACAAGTAGGGCGTTGAGGTTGAAACTCAGATCTTTAAAATAATAGTATTTCCTTCCAAAAGGTCAGCTAAGAGGTCACTGTGCGGTAGGAACTGTGCCGGACTTAAGGTATTTATGTTAACTGCCGTAGATGAGGTACAGAAAGGTCAAACGCACACGTCTGATACTTTGTAAACCTGGCATTCACACTGAGATCTATGGAGCTGTAATATTCAAGCTTCCTCAACTGTCCCTGTAGGTCAGCAGTTTCCCGCCATGCTGATCAACTCAGGCATTTGAGATGACAGGCTAAGCCTGCAGCCTAAATAGCATTACACACGAATCAAAGCATTACAAAGTAACAGCCTGTGGTACTCCACTGTTTTTCATGTCCAGAGCCTGGACCAATGACGCAAAAGAGTACTTATGAGTCTAACTGCTTTTATGTGTCTGCTCTGATTTTTACCACTCTGTGAAGCAAGTATCATTTTTACCCATATTTTACAGATGAAAACTGAGGTTAGAAAAATGTTCCCAAAGTCATAAAGAAAAAAAAAAACCCGGTCTTACTCACTGTACTATACCCCCTACCTGATTTTTGCAATATTCATGATGTTAGAAAAAGCAGAAATTCCAAGAAAAAAATGTCAGTAGTGAGCAGAACTGAATATGACAGGATCACAGATTCATAAATCCATGAGGAAGACATGCAAATCCACAAGTAAGGTGAAAGAAAGATGACAGAAAACAAGAGGCTAGATGCATGCAGGGAGGGGAAGCAAGGGAGAAAGGCTGAAGGAAGATTGTAGTTAGGGATATTTTTCAAGTTGAAAAAAAAAAAAAAACCCAAAAGTCCAAAATCCAAAATGCTCAAAACTCTAGAATTTCAGCATGATGCCACAAGTGGAAAATTCTATACTGTCTACTTTTGTTGTGTGTATGACAGCCTAGATGAAAAAGGCATTCAATAAACAAATGAGCTTTATGTTTGTATGTACCCGCCTCAACATGTCTCATTATGGACTAACAAATATTTTAAAACACAAAAATCTGCAAAATCTGAAGCATGTCTGGTCCCAATCATGAAAGAGAAAAGGCGTGCGACCTGTAAAATACTTGGAAAGAGATTTGAATATAGATATGTCTAAACTTTAATGGATGAGCGGGGCACAAAGGGCTCATTCTCCACTCATCCCCGTAAGGCAGAAGCTTTCATATCTGATTTTTCTTCCCTAAAGTCAGAAGAAATCTTCTGGACTTGAGTAGAGAGGAAAAGAACCACTTTGTCCAGGCCCTGGACATGGCAAAGCACACCACACACCCACAGTACGTCATTGCCATCAGGAGATCGGAAGAAATACTGGGACCCGATGGCAGCACTCCACAGTTTGAGAACATTTCCATTTATAACTACTTCGTTTGGACACACTATTACTCCGTCAAAAAGACTTTCCTTGGGCCAGGGCAGGAAAGCTTTGGCGAAGTGGATTTCTCTCATGAGGGACCAGCTTTTCTCACCTGGCACAGGTATCACCTCCTGCAGCTGGAGAAAGATATGCAGGTATGAATGAAAATGTTGAATTTCAAGTCCCTTGCAGAAGGCGTGCCACCCCATTTGTAAGTCATTTTAATTCACTGTTGTTCCAAGTGATTAGAACAAGGGATGACAAAGTGATTTTGTTTTACTAATCTGCCTTTGATATTCATTTTCACTTCATACTGATTCCTTGCTTATTAACTAAACTTGATCTTTTTGTGAAGTGAAAAGGAAATATCAATGATGAGAAAGATATTTGAGACATTTTTAGGCATGAGTTAGGCACTAAGAAATCTCTACCTGTCCTAAGGGGCTGGGGATGTAGCTCAGCAGCACAGCGCCTGCCTGGCAAGCCCAAAGTCATGAGTTTGATTTCCGGAACCAGAAAAAAAAAAAAAAGAAATCTCTACAGGTCCTTCATTTTAAAAACTGACTCCCAGGAAGCTTGAAACAAGGGAAACTCATTTTGCATGGGCCGGTCCTCGGTAAAAGCAGGTAGACGCTCTCTCCCGGCTGGATGAAGTGAGTGTACCTATGCTCTCCTTCTGCCCAGTCCCAAATACAGGCTGTGCCTCTGTCCCAGCTGAATGGGCCAATAGTAGTCCAGTTTACTGAAGATCACTTGGACAGCAGCCAACAGCAGCAGGAAAGAAGAAAGGGAGTAAAGGGGCCGATAACTCAGGCTTTCAGAATGTAAAGGCCAGACACCTCCAGCTCTAGGAGCCTCTGACAGAATCCCCTGGGGATTCTCTGCCACCCAGGGTGTGGTGACTGCTTAGGCTTCTGTGATTTCATCCTGTACCTCTCTTAGGATGAGGGAAGCAGGAATAACTAACCACTGGGTGCTTAGGGTCAAATGGGGGAAAGGGAGCGGCCCATTCAGCTCCTTTGTTTCTAACTGTTCTACCTCCTCATACCAGGTGATGATTCTGTCCAACACAGGTTAGAGTTTAAGACACAAAAAAAATGTGCCTTTCCATTTTGATTGTTATCTTTTCATTAAACCACATTTTTCCAGATCTTATCTGAAGACCTTACATCACCGTATGAAATTATGGATGTTAACTTTCTTGACTATTGTAGGAAGTCTATTATCGATAGGCATAAGCATCATGTGCACAGCTTAAAAAAAATAAAATATAGCGCATCCATCAGATGTTACTTTCAATTAAAAGACATTGGCTTTTCAAGGGCCTAAAGCAAACCTCAATCTGAGTGCAACCATTTCATGCTTTTTTTTTAAGCAGATACACTCAAAACACACTAGGTATTTGGTAGAAGAGACACTTTTTTTGATAGATCTGTTTTTGATAAAGTGTAATTTTAAAATACAAATTTTGAGAGTCAAATCTCAACTAGGAAATTCATGAATTAAACTTGTTTCTAGTGCTTAACAGCAATGATAATAATCCCCCCTCCCCAGTTAAAATGTTAAAAATTAATCTAAATCTTCTGAAGACAGAAAGGGTGCTTAGACTAATTTGCTGATTTTCAGGATGTTTGCACCAGCGTCATTTCAAAAAGAGAAATTGGTTAGAAGAGAGAGAATTAATATTCTAAAATGCAGAATAAAATATTTGTTTGCAAGGGGTCTATCCTTATTCAGTTTGAGTGTGATTAAATGAATTCTTCTAGCACTGCATACATCATATTTTATAACTCTGATTGCAGGTAAGGCCTTTAGTAGATTTTATGCAGATGAATCCATCATTTACCATTCACTCTCAATCTGCATATCTTGAAGTCCTTTCCCATGGGTGCACCTCGTGAGAGGACAGGTGGAAAGTCTTTAAAGGCTTCCACGTTTCAGTGTAAACTTGAACCTCTTTACACCACAAGGCAGCCAACAAATTACAATCTAAACAGAATGCACAGTTGAAATTCTATCTGAATTTGCTCTGATTCCCAAATATCCGTTCCTGAACCACAATCTGGTTCTTAATGATCCTCGGAAGCTGCCACTAATTTTTGTGAACCACCACGCTGGCCTCTAAATGAGGACGACTGACCCTTGAAGATCAATAACCGGGGATGCCTTGGAAATCTGCTGACCCCATAACACAACCACGGGTAAGGAAATGTGTCCTGGGAAGGAAGCGAAAGTGAAAAGGCAGAAGGTACTGTGTGCTTAAGAAACAAAACAATGGCAACCCTTTCATTTAAATCACACCCCTGATCCCAGTACTTGAGAAGCTGAGGTAGAAGGCTGTGTGGGATTTGAGGCCAGTGTGGGCTACACAGTGAGCCCGAGGCCAGCCTGAACTACATAGCGAGAAACCTCACCGCTGAATGTAACTCTTTAATGGGCATAAGAAATGATAACTAACAAAGTAATGTATGTTCTGAGGAGCCCAATAGTATAAGCCTGTAACCTTTACTGCAACATTTTTTAAAAATGTGTAATCCGTTCTGAATGGAAATGACGTGTTTGGTCTAAAAAGCAAGAGGCACAAAAATTTGTTCTGTTTCTGTTTATCATTTCCTGTGTGACTTTGAGGCAGAGGCCTGAGTCTTGGTTTAGATTTTGGAGCAGGAGTCTCTAAACCAAACACCTTTGAGCAGATAAGTAAAAGAGACCCTGTCCCTGCCATCAAACGAATCTACGTGACTACAGCCATTTAAATTAAATGAAAAACAGAAACAGAAGTCACTGTTCCAGAAAACATATTTCAAAGTTGGACCTGACATCAGACTAAGAGTTAGTGATGTTTAAATAAAAGACAGGAAGTGGGAAATAGAAATGTCAAGGAATGGATGTTTTTAATGGATGATTTTTTGATATAGCCAGGAGAAATGTAATTACCTGCCAAAAAGAAAAAAAAAAAAGCAATAACTTTTTCCTTTCAAATTATTTTTTGAGGAAATAATGAATTGAGTTTCATTCTTCTCGGGTCTCAGTGACTTCTATTTAACTCTTCAGTGCCCCTGGGACACCGCTGGTTCCCTGCTTCCTTAGTGGCTGAGGAGACTCCATAGAAACAACCAGAGAGAACTGACAAAGTTTCTGTAATCTAGGACATGTTACAGGAGCCTTCTTTCTCCCTGCCTTACTGGAATTTTGCAACTGGGAAAAACGTCTGCGATATCTGCACTGATGACTTGATGGGCTCGAGAAGCAGCTTCGATTCGACTCTAGTCAGCCCCAACTCCGTCTTTTCTCAGTGGCGAGTGATCTGCGAGTCCCTGGAAGACTATGACTCTCTGGGAACTCTTTGTAACAGTAAGTTCCGAATGAAAACCAACTGCCCGAATTCATATTAGATTAAGAGGTTAAACAGGCTGCATGAAGCCCTTCACTCTAGAATATTTGAGAGTAAAACCTGTTCTTATTGTCCAAGAGAATCCCTACTCAGATATCCTTTGAGCACCTATTGTACGCAGGACAATCTACAAGGTGCTCCAGAGAAACAGAATGTGCCTGCATATTTTTACACTGCTTTTCTTGATTAGTTGGCTCATAGCATTGCCGACTTCTTTATTTTAGAGACGTCTAGATGTGTACATTAATCCACTTAGTATACTCAGCACTACTTAGTAGTCATGTGTCTGGGGTTGGAATTTCTCAGAGAATCTTTTTCAGAAAAATCTGAAAGACGGAAAAGATCTTGAAATGTTCTGGGCACAATAAGCTAGGGAAGGATGTAGGAAGGAAGAAAAGAGAGGCAAGAAAAGAAGGGAAAGAAAATTCTTTGTGTTTATTCAGTCAAAGAGTTCAAAACCTAAGGGTGATGTTGCAGGGATGGTTCAGAAAAGGAGAACATTGCACAGGCCACATCTGCCAGCTGCTGATTTGCTGCTTTTGCAAAGTAAATGTAAGAGAATGTAAGAGACGCTATGTTGTCCTAGGAGTTCGCCAATGATCTGAACACTTCCATTGTAGGTCAAGTTTATTTTGGGGGCTCTACCCCTGAGTTTCAGGGCTGGGGATATAGCTCAGCATCACAAGCACCTGCCTGGCAAGTGCAAGGTCCTGAGTTCTATTCACAATACCAAAAAAAAACCCAATCTATTCCTGAGTTTCTATTTCTGCCTTGGATCATGTTACTATCTGTCTCTGTGCATTAACGTGGACCTTAATTATTAGAAGTTCTTATTCCATCTAATTTTACTCTTCTTCAGGCATTTATGCATATTATGAACATTTGCTCTTCTTCATAAAAACTAGATGCATGGGAATTCAGGTCATTATTATATTCATTATATTTTGCAATATCCATGTATCAAATCTTAAATTATTTTATAAACTTAAGAGAATATTCTAAGTAGATCAGAAAGAAATAGGTTCATGTCAGGCAGAGACTGTGCCACTGAGCTACATCCCTGACCCTAAGAAGTAGGTACATGTAGACGTTTCACCACTACAGGAATATTTAGAAATGTATGTGCTATGTACAGAAATGAGAAATGAGACGGTTTATCAAGTTTTCCACTGTAGGCGATAACAACTTAGAATAAATTTTGAATTGTTTTGCATGAAGAAGAGTGGTCCCACCTGTACCAGAGAAATGAAATTGAGGATCATGGTCTCTTCAGATACTTAACTATCTCTTTCTGGCCAGGCTGATGTATTTTGGGCTTAAACTTTCATAGACATTTTCCAATCATACTGATGATCAAACACCAAAATAAACAGTTTAAGTGGGCATACATAATTATAACACAGAAAGGGTTTTTTTGTCCATTAATATTTGCATTTCATAATTTAGAAGGACAGTGTTGTGACAAGTTGAAAATCTTTCTAAAGATTGCTCAGCTGAAGGTGTAAATACCAACCACTTTATTTATTAGGCAAGACAGGGAAAAATGAAACTAATCCTTCGCTGAACATGTATTGCTTCTCATACTGAAATGTTTACTATGTTCTCTCACTTAAGCCTCAAAGCAACCCTATTTTCTCTACTTTTTCTTCTTGGAAGATCCTAGCCATGCCTGTGGTTTCACTGATCACCACTCACGGATGACCCATATGCACACATCCTTAGATTAACCCTTCCATAAATACTCCACGCAGGCTAGTGGCACTCCACTTTATAGCTTGAAAAGCGAATTCCTAATTCCTAAAATTCTTCCAGTCACTAAAATATGAGATTTGTTTAATCATGTGAAAAACACTGCTCTTTTTTCATAATACTTCTCAAATCTACTTTCTTATTCAGATGTTCCCAACTTTCCACAAGTGGAAATTCTCAGCAGGTTTCCATAGTGTAGTGATTATCACAAGGAGAAATTCCACAAAACTGTGATCCAGAAGATATTAACAGATGTAACAGCGGAGGATGTCCACATGCAAACAAATTTCAAAATAACTGACATAAAATTAAACTAGTTTAATGAATTTCTTTATTATCAGAATTTTCTGCTGTAAAATTCCACAAGGGAAAATTATGATCCAGCACTTTGAACACCAGTAATGCTTTATTTCTTATGATTTATCAATAACTCCCAAGACAGTAATCCTCAATACATCAGCCTGTTTTGTTTTGCTTTTGCATCAGGGTCTCTCTATGCAGTCCAAAATGACCTTGAACTCATTATGTAACCCAGGCTAGCCTTGAACTCATGGTGATCCTCCTGCCTCAGCTTCTCAAGTGCTGAGATTACAGGCATCTGACTCCACACCTGGCCTCAAAACATCACCTTTAACTGGTAGTTTTTGGTGAATGTTCACCCAAACGGTCCACATATACCATACTTTCTAGTTCCAATATATATGATTTGTTTATATATTATGTAAAGTTCATCATGCTAATCAACCAGGTGGTAATCATTATGTTAGAAAGCTTTATGAAGTAAAAGAAATATGAGTTGAAGTTACAATATTTTCTCTCCCTGTGGAGTAGATTATTCTCCTTTTTTCTTTAAGGCACATATATTTCTCTCTAGAGACCACTGAGATAGACTGATACAAAACACTAATCAATCTCCTCTCCTCCCACCAACCCAAGGCTTCGATTTTCCTCACTTCCTAATAAATTACATATGACTTTCTCATCGCAGTACTTGAGTTCTTCAGATGAGGCTCCAGTCTACATTCTTACCATTCCACTACAGCCCTGCAGTGTCACAGAGCTCTGGCAAACAAAACAGAACCAAACGGACTCTCTACAGCAAACATCATGTTTCTCCTACCACCACGTGCACCGAGCAACTCTAACGCCAGGCACTGTGCCAGGGTTATGAGGGATTTTTCTTACAAATAAAACTTACCTCTTATTTCCTCTGCCCAGAATATAAAATTGCTTGTAAAATTTCTCTCACTTTATCTGTGGAGATTCTCCACAGTCCTTCAGATTTCTTTGTTCTTTGTAAACTTCTTCTTTGTGAAAATTGTTCTCAACACATCAAAAATCCTATTTTCCCTACTTTTTCTTCTTGGAAGATCCTAGCCATGCCTGTGGTTTCGCTGATCACCACTCGCGGTGACCCATAGGCACACACTTAGATTAACCTTTCCATAAATACTCCACGCTGGCTAGCGGCACTTCGCATCATAGCTTGAAAAGCGCATTATTAATTCCTAAAATTCTCCCAGCCACTAAAATACGAGATTTGTTTAATCATGTGAAAAACACTGCTCTTTTTTCATAATACTTCTCAAATCTACTTTCTTATTCAGACGTTCCCAACTTTCCACAAGTGGAAATTCTCAGTGGGTTTCTGTAGTGTAGTGGTTATCACAAGGAGAAATTCCACAAAATGGTGATCCAGAAGATATTAACAGATGTAACAGTGGAGGATGTCCACATGCAAACAAATTCCCCTTGTTTCTGTCTCTTTCTCTGTCTCTGTCTCTGTCTCTCTCTCCATCTCTCCTTCCTTCTCTCCCTCCCACCTCCCTCCCTTAAGGCGCCCATTGTGTTGCCTATCCAGTTCTTTGTTTACCTGTTTGTGATGAAACTTCAAGAAGTTTATTTCTCACCTTGATGAATGGGCTGAAATTATGTATATATAACTTCTCATAGAAATTTAGGGATTTTTTTAAAATTTTGTAAAAGTTTGAAATAGATGGCATTTTAGTGCAGAATATATAGAAAATACAGATTCCAGACTGGAATTTAAGGGGGTTTTTGTCTTTTTTTTTTTTTGAGACAGGGTCTTGCTGTGCAGTTCAGGCTGGCCTTGAGCTCACTTTGTAGGCCAGGCTGGCCTCGAACTCACAGTGATACTCCTGCCTCAGCCTCCCGAGTGCTGGGATTACAGGCGTGCACCACCACACCCGGCTCTGGAATTTAGGTTTGTGAGATTATGTGGGCAAGATTTAATTTTCCATTGAGGTTCTATTTTGATATATTCACTTGAAAAATTGTATCCTGCTTTAACAATCGCCAAGATCCTCATCTATTACCAGGATACTTTTTCCTTCAGCTGTATTTACGTATTGCGTACGTACTCATAGTAGTAGGACATAGAAAATTAGACTTTTTCACTTTAATGTTCCTAAGCATGCATTTTTGAATTTGTTTATCCGGAGGACCTGCTTTTCCGTGTCCATGCTGTGTATAATGTTTTAGAAAGCAATGCTAAGCGCTCCAGAGATCCTCGTTTGTCAACGGTACCGCATTCTCCGCAGGCACTGAAGGCGGGCCCATCAGGAGAAACCCGGCTGGAAATGCAGGGAGACCCATGGTGCAGCGCCTTCCCGCACCGCAGGACGTCGCCCAGTGCTTGGAGGTCGGCCTGTTTGACACACCTCCTTTCTACTCCAACTCCACAGACAGCTTCCGGAACACAGTCGAAGGCAAGTGAATGAAATGGGTCCTGTGAAACGCTGCATTTATGGGAGTAAATGAAGGCGCCTAGGTCACGGCTTTAAAAAGTTAAATACCATGTTGATCCTGTGAGTTTATATGAATCAAGCTGCCTGCTATGATTTGGTTACGATTTTCTGCTCTCTATTATAAAGGAAAGCACTGGAAATTTCTCAAATTTCTGGCAGCTAGCTGGCCAGTAGGTACAACTATATCAAAGTGTAACAACACTGGCAAATCATATTCAAAATGGTTCTAAAATAATTTCTTTTTTAAAAAAACATTACAATAAAAGTGCCAAATAATTAGATGACATTCTTTAAAGCCTGGTTTCAGTAAATGTTCCATGAAGGTTGTGTGGTTCTGTAACTCTTCTTACAATGTTCTGAAAATTCAAATTAGTTAGCATCTAATGATTCACCTTTTTTTTTAAAATTTAATGACTTTTGATACTATATTAAGCCCAAGGAAAATGAACTCCAAACAAATGAAGGGATATTCCCATGATATTCAGGTCATTAGTAGCAGTACAGATTCAAATCCAAATTTTCTGTCTTTAAATATAATGTTTTATAACACTAAATCATGCTTGACACTTATGTAAACTTTTAAAAGGAATATAATTATGTATAACTATTATAATCATATTAGTGTTCAGTTCTACCTTAAATATAGCCTTGAACATGTTAGATGTGCTCTGACTACCCCCACAGGAATAGATCTCTCAGTCCTGCTTAGCTATACTTATTTGGAGATGATTCAATACATAATTACTATATTCTGACTAAACTATGTCTCTAAGGTAAGAGAGTAAGTACTACTTTCTAAAAACTCTGAAGATTTGGTCATATTAATGCACAATCCAAAAACAACTGATGCTAATTTCCAGGCAGATGTATAAAAAGAATAGTGCTTAGCCACAGGTCACGCACAATATAGGTGAGCTTTAAGTGTTTCTAGAATCAAAAAATAAGAGAATAAATGCATGAAAATGAATGAATTAATTGATTAATGGCTGTGATTGCACACTGTTGCCTTGAGCCAATTGTACACACTAATAACTTCATTCTATATCCAAGCCTCCCCATTTTTATTTACGATCTGTTCCGCATCCATTCTGATCTTCTCACTAATACAGTGGTACCTCGGGTCACAAACGCTTTTTCTTCATGAACAATTTGGCTCACAAACAGAAGCATTTGGCAAAATGTTATTTTGGTTTGCAAACTCTGCATCAGGTAACGAATATGAATGTGGCCATCTTTTCCAGAAGCTTGGAACAAATTAAGTTCATGAACCAAGGTACCGCTGTATAAAGAGGTATTTATCAAAAGTTCTATAAATGTTTTGACAGTAGGTTTTTCATATGGTTTTTCATATTGGTTTATTTCATAAACCAATACATAAATGATAAGAAAATGCTAAGAAATTTCTAACTTCCCCCAAAATAATTCTCCAAAAATAAACATGCTGACAGTCATCCAAGAGGAGCAGAACAAGGATGAAAAGTAACATGTGGCAATTTAAGTTGCAGGACGATCAGAATGGTGCACTCCCAGCTGTATCAGCAGTTTTAGTAAAAACGAGAGAGTTCCACTATCTTGGTTTCCATGTAGAACAATGTCTACCTTGTCAAAATAAAATGTTCTATACATTGTGAGTGGTATCCTTTGCAGGTCATTATTTTTAACCTACTGGCTACGTTTAGAATGTCACACAACTACCTTAAAAGTAACCTACTTCTGAGTATAGCAAGGAAATATCAACTATTGATATAGAGAAGCAATGCTATTATATTAATGCAAAATTTGACTCCACGAGCTTTGGAAAAATTGTTTCCCAGTATAATCACTGATGTTGACTTGGAAAATAATGAGATGTACACAATGTTTTCTACCCTGCTCAATCCTTACTTGTAAATCCAGGTTACAGTGATCCCACAGGAAGATACGACCCTGCTGTCCGAAGTCTGCACAATCTGGCCCATCTATTCCTGAATGGAACGGGAGGACAAACCCATTTGTCTCCAAATGACCCTATTTTCATCCTCCTGCATACTTTCACTGACGCAGTCTTTGATGAATGGCTGAGGCGACACAATGCTGGTAAGACACGGCTATGCCCTTTCCGCAAAGGGCTTTGTTCCAATGGCATAGTTAGCAGTTTATGCCGGCTCTTGACTCTCATTAAATACACTTCAAAATAAGGATATAATAGCTACACTCTCTAGCCATCTCCAAATATTCAAAACCACTTTGAAATTGCAGAAGTCTCTCAAAATAGTTATTTTAGGATGACATTGATTTTATCGTTTGCTAGAGCTAACCAGGTAATCGCTTCTCATTTTTGCTACCAAAAAATGATTGCCATGTTTCCTCAATTTTTCTTTCCCATTTCTCCCAACAAACACTCTCATAGCCTTTTAATATGAATGGGAAAATGCTACATAGCTCCTCTCTGATGCCCCAAGAGATCAAAATTTTATAGCCATACTCCACAGTTCTGTATTTTATTGCTTTATGGCCTCATATAATAGAAATTTTGTTCAATTTGAAAAGTTAACATTGATTTTTGTATTGCACCATAGGAAATATCTTTTAAGCTAATTTTAATATGTTCTTTAAAATATTATTAAAAGATCTCTCTTTCCACAGTTCTACTCAACTGAAAGACTTGTATTAAAAAGCTTCTACTGGTTAAAACATAACTTTCTATATTTTTAAAATGTTATAAATTTTTGCTTGTTTGTCTTTACTTCGTTATGGAGATAAACATGGGATTAGAGGTTAATTATCTGTTGATGCATCTATCCAGTGAAACCAGTTTCATGTGTGAGAGTGTGTGTGTGTGTGTGTGTGTGTGTGTGTGTGTTAAAGTGCTCTAATCCAACATGTTCAGGACATTTCATTGAGGTATACATCTAAAAAGTTTATTGCATCGGAAAATCATGTAGGATAAAAGAAACTTGCACATAAATATTTGCTTAGGGCCCAGAATATAGCTCAGTGGCACAGCAGCTGCCTGGCAAGCAGGAGGTACTAAATTTGACTTCCAGTATCCCGACCCCAGAATTTGCTTAATTTTGGAATTCACTGATTGGAGTTCCACTTTCTATTTTATGTGTATTTATATACATAAGTACAACGGCAGTGCATTATCTATAATTCTCAGGGTCAGGGTTCTTTTTTTTCAAGTGAACCAAGAAATTAAGAATTCTGTGATGCAGAGGCTGGGGATTTAGCTCAGTGGCAAAGCGCCTGCCTGGCAAGCGCAAGGTCGTGAGTTCGGTTCCTGGTACCGGAGAAAAACAAACAAACAAACAAACAAACAAAGAATTCTGTGATGCAGTCTGGATGTAGAAGACTAGATTTTCATGCCTCCTAATCTACAGCTATATTTCATCTGTTAATTTTCAGCAAGTCTTCCCAAAGTGTTCAGCATCTCTTTTGTAAGCATAGTTATCACTTTACCTAGGTTTTACTAGATTGCTTTTATTATAGTACCAACTGGGATTGATAGGTTTAGGAATTACTAAAACCAGGTAATTTTTGTTACAGTATACACTAATGGGTACTCAACAGCAATGTACGAGTTATATTATCCAGTCATTTGCAATATCTTGGAAGTGGGAAAGGGAGAATCTTAATATGGCAGTCATTTAAGTGAGTTTTTCAAGTATCAAAAAGGTATTCTACTGACTTTCATATATTGATTAAAAATAATTATTTCATTTTCATAGTAATTTGTTAAAGGTGCTCCAGGTTTTAATTTAAACATTCTTATTTACCTCCTATCCCCTTCCTTCAAGCTATGTGAAGCTTAAAGTTTCTCAGTTCTGTTTAAGCAGTGAGGAGAGAAATATCATAAATGCAAAGTAGAAAATCAGCCACACAATATTTCAGATAAAAGGTGACCGTAAAATTATAGATAAGTCAATGCAAATACTTATAAATTACATGAAGCAAGGCCAACAATTACCTTCCTAAATAGTCCATATACCTGCAACTATCCCTTGGAAATCAGTGTAATAAAACCACTATTTTAGGGAGAAAAAAATTAAAATATGAAAAGAATCTTTTTGACATTAAGTCTAAAAGTAATGAATATGATTATGTTTTGAAATGCATTAAAATATTTTTACAGATATTAAAGGTGTTTCAAAACTCATAAAATTATTAAAATCTATTACACACATTGAAATCTATGCAAAACATATGAAGCAAGAGGAAAGGGTGGGATGGGGGTAGTGGGGAATGATTAAAGTTTGTTATAAGAATCCATAAATCTCTCCCAAAACCTCATTAATCAGTATAACCTATATGCACTAGTGAAAAAATTACACAATTATGGAATTAATTATTAAGACCACAAAGGAGCAAGAATTGCATTTTATAGTTAAAGGAAATTACATTTATCTGTACAATAAGGTGCATTATGTCCTCATACTAGACATGGTATAGTAAAGTACAAAGCATCAGAACTCCACCTACAGCAATTCTAAATTCTATTCATTAACACTGTGGATCTGTGTAGTATGTTATTTAACTCCCCCTTTTTTGAGATTTTTTTTTTTTGGTCCTTTGAGACAGGGTTTCACTACGCAGTTCAGGCTGGTTTTGAACTTATTTTTAACCCAGGCTGGCTTCAAACTCACAATTCTCCTGCCTCAGCCTCTTAAATGCTACGATTACAGGTGCACCACCACATCCAGCCCAACTCCCCCCTTTTTAACTGAGAATTGAGTTAAATTTTAAAACATAATAGCCTAGAAGTTCCAGGAATTTTCAGAAGATTTATACATTTATTAGAACAATTACTGCTATATCTGTTGAGCCATGAGAGAAATGAAGTCATCACACATACTCATAAACTCTTTCACAAATACTTTTTGAACATCTGGGCTGTATTTTAATTACCAGAAGTAGCATACAAACCTCCAGTAAAACCTACTTTCCTCCTAGAAATTTCCTGCCTGTTGGTAGAAATCAAAATAAACAAAGGTAAATAACTCTACACTATGCTAGATGGTAAAAAGCCTATAGACAAAATCAGAAGGCAAACAGAGCAGATACTCAAGGTCGTAAGATTTCATTTTAAGAGAGACGGAGGTTTTGAAGAGTCTTGCACAGGGAAATTACATGAAAATCCAATTGCTATTATTCTTTTCACAATTATTCTTCTACTTAGTTTAGCGACTGTAACTTTATCAAACAACTGAAGCAGAATTGGAGTGAAGGTGGTCAAGGCAGAAAGATGAATGAAAATGCAATGTTAAAATCTACCTAAATTACTAACTTTAACAAGTAATTTTAGCAAATAACAACTAATAACCAACCAGAAAGGGAGTTATCTGAGGGCAGGAATTTTGTGGTTCTGTTCAGGGTTATGGCCTATGTCTACACCAGTACTTGGCAATGGTAGAAATCAATAAATTGTAATAAATAAATATTGAATTTGCTTTAATTATAGTAGATTTAAAATTACAAATATATAAACACTACCTTCCCCTTATTTGGTCAGTTTTTCTTCAAACCGATGTGAAAACATCCTTCTGGAGATCATGGGATCACAATGACAGTTCAGGCAATAGGCCTCTAGCAAATAGAAAAGCTAATACTTGGCTGGCATTCTCATTAATATCCTGCACAAGCCAACTTCCTGTTTTGGTTTTGTGACATTCCAATTGGCTCTTAATTGTGTATTTAATTAAGGAGAAATAACTGAGAAGAATAACTCTTTGTCACGAAGAACCTACCATTACTTTTACCCCTAATGAAAGAAACACACCAACAATGTAGATGCCTCTTAGTTAAATGGCTTAATATCTATGTACAAGAGGAGAGAGGACAAGAAATTAATTGGATTGCAAGAACTTTATTCCAATTCTGAAAATATTTTTTGCTAACAGTAAAAAGGATAGCTTGGCTACGTGTATGACTGATGTCTGTGGTTTATTGAAAGGAACAGTCAATGCTTAAAATTTTCTTTTTTCTTGACCAATTTTGCACCCTTGTATCTGGTAATCAGAACGACTGATCTGAAAACAACAATATGCAATATAAGAACCATTGTTGAACTCCTACCATCTTGTATGGTGAAGCTCTGCATCATTTCCAATTTTTTTTTTTATTACTTGTTGCTGTCTTTGATTGTTTGAGCAATCTTACATTCTTACGTCTGGTGGACTGAGCAACTTGGTTGAAGATAACAGTATGTAATGTAGCAACCATTGTTAATTCCTATCATTTTATTTTGAGGTCATGTATTATTTTTGCTGTTTTTGTGGTGTTTGATTTTGTCTTCATTGTTGCTTTGTTAGATTATTTTCTCTTTAAAATTAAAAAATGTGAGAGTAAAATTCATAGTAATTTCTCTCAAAGGAAACAGAAAACGGTAAAAACTGTTACACAGAAATACTGAGAGCCGAGGACAGCCTCCAAAAGCTACAGCATCCCTCAAATTTAAATTCCAGGTTATGCTGCACTATATGGAAGATCTCTCTTTTCTTTGGCTTTGCAAAATAAATTTAATAAATTATACTCAAATCAATTTTTAATAATTTAAAATAAAACAATAGACAATCACCATAGCTGATAAAATGCTAAACTTCCTCTGTTTTTAAGTATTTTTTATTAAGTGTATGTTGATGCTGCAGTCAAAATATTTTCACTACTTTGTGTAATTCCTTTTTCTGCTACTGTGAGGCTGTCTTTAACTCTTTGTTCAGTGTAAAATGCAAAGAACATTTTTTCAGTTTCTCCTCAAATATGGGATACCTTCAGAACATAATAATGATATTAGTATTAACTGTGTCTTCTAACAAGTTATCTCTGGACTATTTTAGATATATCCACGTTCCCACTGGAAAACGCCCCTATTGGCCATAATAGACAGTTTAACATGGTACCGTTCTGGCCGCCAGTCACCAACAGAGAAATGTTTGTTATCGCTGCAGACAACCTCGGGTACACTTATGAAGTGCAATGGCCAGGTGAGTGCTGAAAATGTGGTTCATTGCAATGTGTTCCAAAAACAGATTTGCTGTGTCTAAAGCCAAGTCATCACTGTATTCTGAGGTTTACATTTTCTGTTCGGATTTCGAAGAGTTTCACTTAGACTTTTATTTGGAGTTGAGAGAGGGGATTTAACATTTATTGAGAGCTCTGACCAGACACGGAGCTGATTATACACCAATGTATCTCGACAGTCCTCATAACTCCTTTGAAGTATTATGTCTCATCTTGCAAATAAAAAAAAACAAGCCTTAGAGAGGTTAGTTGTCCAAGAGTACATTTCCTATAAGGAAAGAAAATGAATTGTTTGCCTCTGTCTATATAAATGAAGAAGGATTTGTATATTCTAAACTACTTTTGCTGAGATTTCAAAATTCAGAAGTTTCTTGTTCAATTTTAAATCTCTTTCTCAACGAGGGCAGTAGAGGTTAGTGGAAGAGCACAGGATTTGGTTTGGAACAATCTGGCATCCGAAATCAACCATATCTCTCAAATCAAATGACGCTGGCCTAGGAACTCAAAATGAGCCATGCTTTTTTCACCTTTAGAATGGAAGTAGGAATAACTGTCCCCATGTGGAAAACAATTAGAAAGCACCTTCAAGATGACAGGCACTATATTATAAAAAGTGGCCAAAAAAATTCAGTGGAGAAAAGTACCTAAATTTAAAATGAGTACCTAAATTTAATTTTTTGTGATAACTATTTTAATATTTGTTTTATTTTCTGTCATTTTCTCTTTCAACTAGGCCGCAATTTTAGTGTCTCTGAGATTATTACTATAGCAGTCATTGCTGCTTTATTACTGGTCGGAATCATTTTTGTGGGTGTCTCTTGTCTGATTCGTGCCAAGAGCAACAAGGACGAAGCCAGTCAACCTCTCCTCATTGACCAGTATCAACACTATGCTGAAGAATAAAGAACAATCCAGAATCCTAATCAGCCTATGACCTGATGACAAGCTACTCCCCCTCTTACACATGAGTGTCAGGACACAACCTGATTGAAAATGAGTGGATTGAGAGACTGAGTAGATTTTCCTTCACTTTGTTACTCTTTTACACAAGCATATGTTATAAGTAAAGCATTATTTTTCAAAGCTGAAAAGAGTAATTCAGAATCTTGGCAATGATTTCTAATTGTTATCTCTATTTAAAATGTTCAGTTGCACCGACTCCATGACATTTGAAAGCTAGTGAGATGATCTTTGGCGCATTTTAAAGCTTGACTATACAATATAAATTGCCTGCTATGCTTTGTGTATGTGTAAAGGAAAATAAAGTCCGATAGTAGTCTTTTTTAAACGCACAACTAAGCACTTCCACACTGTTAAAATGTAAAAGCCTTTTCATTACTGATCTAGATCAACAGACATGTGAGCAGCAGCATTTATTAGTTAAAATAAATTACACGGAGTTTTAATGAAATTTTTCTAATTGGTCTTTTCATTTGGGTTTCAACGTATATTATTTAGCCTCAGGTTCAAGACCACAACAAAGCCACACTCTGCCACCCTTTGAGGAGGTCAGGGCTTCACTGTGGTAAGAAGCGGCTGTTACTGTCTGTCTGCCACTGTGCTTCCCTCGGTCTCAGTTCGCTGAAGAAGGAGCTTGATGTTTTCAATCTCCTACTTCCTATGTCTCTCTGCCTAATTCCGCTCCCACATCTTAGGGGTCCTCAAAGAAAGCACAAAAGTAGTGAGCGAGCTTCCTGATGTGCTAGAGATAGTATTCTATTCACTGGGTGTCATTTGAATAGTGTTCTCTTATCATTTACCCGACACCTAAGCATTTGCAAAATAAAATATGAAAATATCGTTTTGTTTGTCCCTGTCCTGATCCAGTTCTTCAGGAATGCTGTTTTTTCCTATGCTCTAGCATGATGTTTTTTCTGGTTTTCATCTTGTATATAATGCAATAGTTCCCAGATGACGTATATATTCTGTACGTGAATGAACAAACATTATAATTAAAATTGTGATGGCAAGAAGAAATAACTATAGTATTCATGCCCTACAGAAAATGACTAATTTGATGTTCCCAACTCAATAACCAGAAAGCAGATTAAAGTTCTATGTTCTTAATTGATTACTGTTTTTCACAAGGCTGTGTACACAGGATAAGCTGAAAAAAATATTAAAGAATATGATGTAAAAGTAAGATTATTTTAAATTTTTATACAGAATTACTCCATTGGTTCCCTTAAAATACATTTCAATGTATTAAAGTAAATATTCATAGCTTCTTGGAGAAATTATTGTGTAGCAATAATTGTTTATATGTAAAACATCAATGAAACTAAATATCCTCACCTTAAATTTTTTGAACATTTACTAATTACTCATTTCAGACACATTTATTAACCATATACTAAATTTCATTGATAATTCAAGGCACTGTGCATTTTTGGAGGAGAAAGTCAGGGCTGTAAAACTGAGAAGGTCATATTTGACTTTGGCTTCAAGGAATGCCAATGGATTTACCAAATATAAAGTGGAGAAGGGCATTCTATTCAGAAGTGAGAGCATGAGCACAGGCACAGAAGTTTTAAAGAGCATGGAACATTCAAAAATATAAAGTAGGTCAGTGTGGTTAGAACATAGATATCATGGAGGAGAGCAGAAAGGTTAAATTAGGAATAAACCAGAATGTCCTATACGCAATCCTAAAAAATTTTGAATTCACTGTATGGAAAAAAGGGAACAAGTAAAGTCATAAGTAAAAAATATGTTTAAGAGATAACAGTGGTAGAGGTATTTATACATAAAACTGATAAGGAAAGGCTAGTGTCTTCGTTACCTTTCTCCATTGCTGCGACAAAATACCCAAAGGCCAAAATTAGGAAGGAAAGGTTTATTTCGCTCCAAGTTTGTGGAGGTTCAGTCCATAGTCAGCTGGCTCCAAGGCACAGTGGCATGGCACAGGGGCAACAGTTAATAACAGCAGAAGACAGCAAAAGCCACGAGAGCAAAAAGAGGAGGAGGAGAGCGAGCCTCTTTTCCTCTCTTACACTGCATGCAGGCCACCCGCTCTGGGGCAAGCGCAGCACTCACACCATCTCCACGCCCTCCTCTTGCACTGAATGAGGATGTTTACAAAGTGAGGACCCTGGCTCCCTGCTGAGTCACTTACATTTCTAAACTTCTCAAGTTGACACATGTATCAGCCATTTGCACCTAGAGTAGAGGAAAAGTAATTATATCACTTTTGTCTTTTTGAGACAGGGTCTTTCTATGCAGTTCAAGGTGACCTTGAGCTCACTTTGTAGCTCAGGTTGGCCTCGAACTCACAATGATCCTCCTGCCTCAGGCTCCTAAGTGCTGGAATTACAGGCGTGCACCACCACGCCTGGCTCTATATCTTTAAAGATGAAGGTTACCTTCCAATTCTTTAATGCTCTATTTAAAATTTGGCTCTATTGCATACATTTCATAAATTAATATGAAAAGAAGGCCTGCCCCCTATGAAAATTAATTTAAATAATTCTAATTAGGAGAAAGCTACCCACATTATCTTATAACTACAGCTGTGTCATTTTATTTCTCTCACTTTCGTGAACTTTTATTTATTGTCCAGATCTATAAGATCTTATTTTAAAAAAAAAAAAAAGATCTTATTATGCCTGTGTCATATTACTCATGGCAAAAAATGCACATTAAGTATCTTGCTGGTCTCTTCTCTGCCCTCTGGTTCTTGGACAATGAGATTTTTATGCACTCACTAGAAGACAAATTAAACACCGCTTTTTAAATCCATTCTTGCTGGATGCTTAAGTGCTCGTTTTAATGCCGCAGCCATTCTAACTTTTAGACCATACATGGAGTGAGTATAAACGCCTTACTGGACGTTCCCATGCAATCAAGAATAAAAAGCTATTGTATCTGTGGGCCTCATTTGTGTCCTCTCTTTGTTCACAAAAACAAAATTTAGAGGTAATGCCAAATTACAGTCCCTTGCATTTTTAAAAAATTGGATACAAGGGGAAAAGAGACTTGGGGCTAGTCATTTAACTCTTCCAAGGTCTGGTGGTGAGACGTTTATTCTGGGCTCAGTTCATGAATATCAAATAATGTTATACATTTTTGCCCTTTTCTACATCCTGATCAGGATCCAATGGGGCAGAGAGATAATAAGAAATGGAAAGAAAAGATTTAAAATCTTGGTATGCCAAGAACAGAGCCTGATAAGAAAGAAATAAAGTATAATAAGGAAAAATGCAAAATATGCTAGTTCAAAAGAATGACTGCAAAATTAAAAACATGACTGCAAAGGAAAACAAAAACTAGCAAGATACTTTATAAAATAACTAGATTTTAGTGACTTTCAAGTTTAATCAAAGCCAACTGCAACACTATAAAGGGGTAAAATGGTATACAACTGACAGAGGAGGAAAGTGCTTTTCTATGGAGCTTCATTAATACATAAACAGAAATCTGTCACATCCAAAGTATTTATGGACTTGAAGCCATAGGGTAAGGGTCACGTTGAAAAACTGGAATTTCTACCTTCATATTTTAAGTGACATAATTACTAGCCTAAGAGAGAAATTTGGAAGGCATCTTTCATTCTGCCATTTCTCTCAATTCTCTCATCCAGTTAATAATGCTGCAATACAGTCAATATTTACAATTATACCCTAAACACTGTACTTACCATCTAAAGAAGCTTTGGCCCCACAAGACATGTGACCAGGTTGGGAACACTTGGCTGTCACAACAGGTATGCATGGTATTATTGTCATCCCTTGGGCAGCGGGCAGAGATGTAACTAAATATCCTATAATGCACAGGACAACCGCTATATTAAAAACTGTCCAAGCCAAAATGTAAATGGTGCTGAAGCTAAGAAAACCTGTCGTAAGGCTGCAAGGATAAACAACTTCCATAATGCTACTGGCCTCCAGAGGTTAGTACCTGATTGGAGAGACCAACACACACCAGTGTTTATTAAGAAGCCAAGGCCGGGCATGGTAGTGCATATCTGTAATCCCAGCAATCAGAAGGCTGAGGCAGGAAGATCATTGTGAGTTTGAGACTAGCCTGGGCTACAAAGTGAGCTCAAGACCAGCCTGAACTGCATAGTGAGATCATCTCAAAACAGAAAAAGAAAAAAAAAGGAGCCAAATTTTCTTACCCCATATAAATTTAGAGAATAAGGAATAAAAAGTATGTAAGGCAATACAATGTTACCTTCAGACCCTCCTGCTGTTTAACTTCCTCTACCATCTTCAGTATTGTAGCTTTTTGCTGTTTTATTTATAATGTCAAGACTGGAAACATAGCTGGTATATCTTTAAACCTTATATCCTTGCACAAATTTCCCTTCTTTTTCAGAAATGAATATCTTCTTGAAATTTTTTATTATATCTCATCAGAAGTTTATCATATGGCAGAGCAATGTAGAAAATTGAGGAATTTGTCTGATTGGTTGGTTGACAATTTGGCTAGTAGGTTGGTTACTGTCCTGAGTGAAATCCGAGTTCTAATAGTACAGGGTAAAAGAAAATGAATTCTAGATGGTGGCATCAAAGAGTACTGCCTCAACAATTAAGAAAACAATACAAATATTTAATTATAACAGTATGAATGGAACACACAGGGTCTTTTTAAAAGATCTGACAAGCCAATATGAGTTATATAGATGATTATAGGTAACCTGAAGAGTGGTAAGCTGAATCCCAAAGGATTTTGAAAACTGTGGAAAAATTAGCAAAGCAGTGCTGTAGGTGCAGAAAGGAGCACGCAATATAACTCTAACTTGGAAATGAGATTTTTAAAATCTGCTTTATTGAAGTATGACTGACATACAAAAAAGCTATACACATGTAATATATCCCTAACTTTGAAAGATAACTTTGGAAACAAATATGTACCCATAAAATGATCACCACAATCTATACATAAATATGACCTTCTAATCCAAGTTTCCTCCCTCTCTGTACTTCGATCTACCTCCATAGTAAGTTTTAAATTATGCCATACACTCTTGGGACCCAGAGGCAACATGCTATGCACTAAGTCACTAGCACTTATTTATCTTGTAAGGAAATTTTAGTGCCTTTAATTCCTTCCCCTCTCCTGCTTCATGACTGCTGACACCTGCTAGTAATTGTCTGCTTCTGTGGATTTGACTTTTTTAGAGTGAATACATGGTGAGATCTGCAGTATTCTTCTCTCTGTATCTGGTTTATGCTGTTAATATGAAGTCTTCCAGTTCATCTATACTTCAAATGGCTGAATTTTCTTCTTTTAAAGACTGAACATCGTTCTATTCTGCGCCTACACATTTCTATCTATTCATCTGTTGGTGGACATTTATTTTGCTCCTTTGTCTTGGCTATTGTGAATAATTCAACAACAACCAAGGCAGTAAAAATATCTCTTTTAGACCCTGATTTTAAATATTTTGG